CCCCCCCCCCCAGTGCCCAGCACTAGTGTCACCCATGCTTGGAATTTGGAGGGTTCATGCTCACAGTGGTATTAGATTAGCTGCCACTGGTATCTGGCAGCTCATATCATGTTATGGGGAGGATATGGGCATGTGTGCTGTTCCTCATGAGCATGGGAGATTCACAAAGAGATGCACATGACCAGAATCAATATGTACAGCTCTTACTAAGTGACAGTAAGTGTGAGAGGAGAGAAGAGCAACGGGAGCCAGCACAGCAGACTTTCTAAAGGCATTAAAATAGTAAGGCTTTATTTTAAAACATAAATACATGTGGCTTTGGAGAATGTTCATTGTGCACATGTATATAAGGAGAAAACAAGAAATAGACTACTCTTCCTGCTGTTGACCCACCTGTGTCATGATTGAATAAAGCTACTGTGATTCCAGTTGAGGAGTTGCCCTCTTTCAAAGATCTAACAGACAGGAAGGCAGAATCAGTAGCAAGATCTATTTATACCAGGGGTAGCAAACCTCCGGCCCTCCAGCTGTGGTGAAACTACAAATCCAATGATGCATCTCTCTTCGGGAGTCATGTCTGTGGGAATCTTGCAATGCCTCATGGGATTTCTAGTTCCACCACAGCTGGAGGGCCAGAGGTTTGCTACCCCTGATTTATACCATCACTGGATCAGTTTTTTCTGCCTGTCTTGGCCACTGCTTTAGTGTTTCTAACTCTTACTGGCCAAAACGTTTGCATTAGGAATTGGTAAATGAACACGTTTCACCTGTATATGTTGAGTTGGCTTCATGGTCTTAAATATGTGTGTACTTCTGTGCTGCAGTGTTAATTTCGTTGACAAAAATTTTCATTTATTGGCCATTTTTCAGTAATAAAAAGGAGACAAAATTAAAGAGTAGTTAATGGGATGAAAACTATTTTCGTCCGGTACCCAATTTATGTTAACAAAATAAAACGAAATTGATAATGAAAATCGTTGTCAACGATTCTCATTATCGATTATTTGCAGCGCTGCCGCCAAGCGCTCTGCTCATCTGCTCTCCCAGTTGGTGCTGGCTGCAGTGGTCTGTGTCCCTCTCAATCCCTGCTGCTCTCCCCACCTGTATCAGCAGAGGCAGCGGGGACACAGACCACTGCAGCCGGCAGCAGCGGGGAGAAGAGACTGCGGTGACTCTGCATTCCCCTGCTGCCCCCCTTCATACCTCTGCTGCTACCCCGTTCCTCCTTCTCCTCTGCCCGCCTTGTTCCTCCTCCTCTGGCTGCCCCGTTCCTCTTCCTCTGGCCACCCCGTTCTCTTCTCTGGATCCCCCTTCCTCCTCCTCTTCTGCCGATGTTCTATCACCAGCGTCAAGTCTCCAATCAGCAGCTGGTAACAACCCAGATAGCAAGGATAACTTGCCACAAACTTGTGGCAGGGTTAAATTGTAATACTTGTTAACTTGCTACACAGTTCCTGGCAAGTTGTAGACTTGCAGAACACTTGCAGCACAAGTTCTAGTTGACACTTTTTGAATTTGTGGCAAATTTGCTTGGCAAGTCTACAGCAACATTCCTGCAGGTCTTAGCAAGAGCTCTGCAAGCTCACTGGTCTGGAGACATGCAATGCATACTTGCTGTAATTGTGCAACAAAATTGTGAAGCTTGGCAAGTCTGCAATAGTTTAGCAAGTCATTTTCAAACTTGCAGCTCAATTGCTTGCTATCTGGGAATAGCCAGCCTGCTATTGGATATTTTAAATTGCAATAGCAGGCTGGCTATTGCACTAGCGCACTGCCTGCTGTCAATCAGCAGAAGAGGACCTGATGGAGAACTTTCTCCTTCAGTTCCCTCCTCTGCTGAATGACAGCAGGCAGTAGGTGGGTGCAATAGCCAGCCTGCTATTGCAATTTAAAATAACCAATAAGAGGTTGGCTTTAGCTCCAAGCCACTGCCTGCTGTGTTGAAATTCAGTGAATTGGAAGGTGTAATGCTAGAGAATTGCTTAAATAATGCAGTACACTAAAAATAAACCTATTAGATTTTAGTCGACTAAAATCGAATAGAATTTCGTCAACTAAAACTAGACTAAAATAAAAATTAATCTGATGAGTAAAATGCGACTAAAAATAAAAATGTATTTTTGTCAAAAAACTAAGACTAAGACAAAAATTCTATTTGGTGTCAAAATGAAGACTGCTGTGCTGGATATGGGACCTCTCATTTCTTAACTGCCTTTATCAACTGTTGTAATTATTTTGTCTCTTGTGGCTCAAGTGCTGGTCAGCTGACCAAACTTCTAAGAAGGCATATCTTTTAGGGTCATCAAGATAAACAGGGCCCTTCTTTTTCAGCTCCCCAGGCAAAGGTCCAAAATGTGATAAGCCTTCCTTTACCGGATGGCAACCCAAGTCCCCTTAGCCCACAGAAAAGTCCTCCTGAACATAAGGACTTGCCCCCACCTGTTAATTTCAGGGTGGGGGGATGTCTAAGTTTGTTCACGGATCTTTGGTTGTCTCAAATTCAAGACAGCTGTGTTCGTGAGCTGGTTTCTTCAGGCTACAAAATAGAATTTCACTACTCTCCACCAGCTCAGTTCTTTCCTTCCAATCTTCATCTTTCTCCAATGCGACTTTGCAATCTTTAGTAGACATGTGCACCGGCAAAAAATGTGTTTAGTTTTGATTCGAATTTTGCGTTATTTCGTTTTTCGGGATTCGGGTCCGAAAGTCAATTCGTTTCGGGATTTGGATTCAGACGAAATTCGTTAGTGGTAGCCTGTACGAATGTTTGTTCCGTTTTCTTTTCTTTGTTTCATTGCAGCAAAGTGACATTTAAAAAAAAAAGTTTATTTTTAATGTCACTTTGCTGCAACGCAAATTTGTCCACAAACAAAACTTTGTACAGACTACTGCTAACGAATTTTGTCCGAAATTTCGTTTTCGGAAATTCGGATTCGTTTTCTTTGGTCATTTCTGTTATTCGGAAATTCGGATAATCTCCAAATAATAAAAATGAGTACTAAAAACACAATTTATTTCCGAAACGAATCGGACATGCCTAATCTTTAGTGAGCAACACAAAGTTTGCTTCACTTGGGGGTAAGTGTTCTGATCCCATTGTTGGACAGATTCAAAACATTTTATTCAATTTTTTTACATTCTTTGAATTTACAAAACTTCAAATTTTAAATTCAAAGTTTTCAAGGACGACAGCATTTGACCAACTCTGGATCACAAAGCTCTCAATACATTTGTCAGGGTCTGAAAATTGAAATATAAGTCCATCCTTTTGGTTGTCCATAGACATCAAGGATGCTTATGTCCACATTCCCATTTGTCAGGCTCACCAGCGTTTCCTGCACTGCACTTTCAACTTGTAGCACTTCCATTCGGCCTTGCTTCAGTGCCTTGGGTTTTTACCTAAGTGCTGGCCTCAATCCTTGCCTTGTTAAGAAATGAGGGATTGCCGTGTTGACTTACCAAGACTATCTTCCTCTTCAGGCAGAGTCTATTCAAGCATTTGATTGGATTCTGAATCTCAAAAAAACATTTCTGATTCTTTTTTATCATCTGGAAAACCTGGGCCTGATCTTAGATATGTGTCAGGCAAAGGTGTTTTTTCCTGTTGCTTTCTAGCCACTGGGCAGCAATTTGGACTTGCATGCGAGTTCTCAGCCAGAAAGAATTTGAGCCTGGTCTTCCATTAAGCAGGGTTCCATGATATTTTAGGTAGAGGAATCCAAGAAATAATTATTTATCTGGTGACGTGTCCAGAATAGCTTAAATCTGTCACTTGGTCTCAGTACGCAAATACAAGTTCAAACAGAATATACTTCAATGTAATTTACCAGAGCTTTTGGGGGAAGAAGAAGTTGAAGGTTTGCTAGATGTTTTCCTATAGATGACTGCCAAAATGACAATTCAGTAAGTGGGGGTGGTAATGGATCTCAGCCAGGGATATGTAGGCTGATGACATGTATATCTTTGCAGAAGAATGACAGGGCTTCAGGGAAGCAGAGAGTAGATGAGTGTTCAGTATGCTTCTGGAGTGAAAGACACTAAGGGAAGGATTTTTTGTGCAAAGAGGGGCTGCTGTGGAGAAGAATCAAGATAGAGGAAAGGGGGAGCATGGGCTTTGTCAGTCATGGAGGTTTGTACTTACTGCAAGGAGCATAGACGTACCTTGAAGCTGTGAGTGTTTCAGTGATGGTGGAAGAGGTGAGACAGGTAGTGAAGGCAACTCCCAGCATTCTTCCAGAGCATGCTGAGAACACCAGGGGTGTAGAGGAAATGTCCTCCGTGTCGGGTTCCAGCTGGTGGGTGGGAGCTTCAGGAAGAGCTGCCGCTGTGGCTTTCCGATTCCTTGGTTTCCCCTCTCAAACATTGGAAGGTGCAGACAGGGTTCTGTTGCAGATGCACCCAGGGAGGGAGGAAAGAGGATTTGCTCATGACAGGATGTCCTCCCTGGCTAAGTTAGCTGAGATTGTTTTGGCAGAAAAGTGGTCCCAGCTACAGAAGCTCAGAATGAATGTCTGGAAGGCAGGTTGTGACTGTAAGTGAGGTGGTGGCTCCCCTGTGTATTTTAATGTTTTTGCTCCTGCCCATTGGTTTGATTGCTAGATAATGTTTTAGCAGGCAAGTAACATATCTGTTCACTGCACATTCTAATTTTTGATCTGGCTTTTTAATCCCACAATATTCACACAATGCTAAAATTATAGAATCAGACTTTGAACTCTTTATCAGATATTATTAGAAGAGCCCAGTTCTTTTTTTGCAATTCAGAACAGCATGTGTAACGGTCAGAACGTCTGCAAGGTTTTTATTGCTGTCTTTGTCCCCGTTGGGAAAAGTCATCTTTACCATTTGTCCCGGGGCCATTTTTCAACAGGACAGAAAGGATAGGAATTCCACAATTTTACAGCTCAGTAACCAGAACAGTAGGGTAGGTTTCTGTAAAGGTTTTCATTTATCCATGTTGAAGATGTTTCTCATCCAAGTGGCATCCTCAGCTCCAATGATTGTCAGAAAAATACCTAGTCATAATACTGCAGCCAGCATCAAATGTGTTCAGGCAGATGTTGCTTGTCTAAGAACATGACAGGAGTGGTAAGTCTGTAAAACTATCCCGTTCTAATTTCATAATTCAATCACCAGGGTGCCATGAGGTCTGGAACAAGAGTTAATTGTCTGATGTAAATGGCTGAAGGTGTGAATTGTTTTGATTTTATTTGGTAAAGATATTTACCAAATAAATTTACTGCTATGGCACATAGAAAACAATTGTTTTCTATGTGCCAAGTTCACACCACAATGCAGAGGTGATCTGCAGTGCGGTGTATTATGAAAAAATGCAGACATGGTGCATTTTCTCACAGTACACTGGATAGAACTGCAGTTCACTGCAGTTCACTGCACCGAAGTGCAGCATACCTTGCTGCTGTGAAAGGAGTGTACACTCTGCACATTCCAAATAAAGTTTAAGAAAAACTAAAAAGTAAAAAAAAAAGCAAATGGTGCCATACTGTGGAAATACCAAGTACAGTGGCTCACAGCTGTCACACTGTATTTTACCGTGCGACTAGTGTGAATGGGCTTCACAATAGTGCACAGATTGGTGGGCTCATCTCCCTGTCACTCCAATTCCCTCCTCTTTTCCCCATCAGCATGTTGTTTGTGTGCACATGAGCACTGTAGTTCAACTGATTGGCTTTGTGTGACCCCCTACCAGTTCAAGCTTTACTGTACTATGGATTACAAGATGCTGATATCAAGTCAAATTCAGTTATTTACACTGTTGCATTGAAAAAAAAAATAGCAATGTATTATAGGATACAGAGCTGCACTAAAGCCCAATTTGTGGGGCTGAAACGCATTAGCATTTGTTTGTCAGCTGCTTTTTGCCTTTTTAGCAGTGCCGTCCGTCCGTTTTTCTACTACGGGCGGACGGCAAGAGGTTAAGTACTGAATGGATGGACCCCCCTTACGAGTGCCGTTTTTAACCTATTGTTGAGTGAAGGCTCTGGCAGAAGCTTTACCGGGCCCCGAGGTTCCAGCAGCAGGATTGGAGACAAGAGTGTAGCTCTGCTCCATGTTTCTCAATTGCATTTATTTGTGTCTTTAATAATTGCCTGAGGTTCAGCTTTAACTTTTATAGTACATTAAAGAATATAATCACAGAGGAAGAAAGTACTGTATATACTGTATCATATATATTTTTGAATATGTATAAGAATTATGTTTTTATATATGTGAAACCTAGTGTGTGGATATGATCAAATGGAATCCTTTAAGGAAGCAATGTACTTGTACCTATAAAAAAGTACTTCACAGAACCTGGAAGAAGCAGAATGCTTTTTTTTGAATGATTTTTTCTGCTTGGCTTCTGCTAAACATAATCATGTGTATCAGTATGTGTTTTTCTTATGGCTTTCCTTGGGGGTTTCCCCTACAGCCTTAATTGCTTTCCACATCTTAAATAGTAAACACTGTTCTTACTAATGTTTCAGTAGAATAGGAAAAGCACTTTGGTTCATATTTAGCAATGTATCCTTTGGGAGTTATACTTTAATCTTTCTGACACCATTAAATGTGTTTTGATTTGAAGGATGGAGGAGGGAAGCTTCGTGGGAAGTACCAGGTCTTTACGTCAACTACCACAGTTACCATTAATGTTGAAGATGTACAAGACTCCCCACCAGTATTTGTACACACACCTTACTATGGATATGTCTATGAGGACACCACTCTGGTAAGCAAAATTGTTAACTGTGTGTTTAAAACAATGTAGGTGAATATTTAGAAAGCAATGAAAGTGGCTTTCAACAAACATTCATTGGAGGTGAATCACATTTCACATGCTTAAATTTCCAATCTGCAGTAGAGAATAACAACCTGTTCTGCATGATTATACATGGTCATGTGTCCTCTTTTATATTATATTAGGTTTGATTTAAAGTTAAAGATGAAATGTACTGCTCAAATCTTCTTATCTGAAAAATATTATCTGTTCAGCAGTAGAGTTAAACTACTGTACACCTCTAAGATGATTCAAAATCTTTTTACTTTATTTTTTTCAGGGGGCAGAAATACTTACAGTGATGGCTTTTGATGGAGATAGAGGAAACCCCAACACAGTACGATATTATCTTTTAGATGGTAAGCAGGTGTTTACAAAGCAAGTTGGTTGTTTATCATTTTTCCCCATTTGCTATTTTCAAATCCATGCAAATCTCTTATCCTAGCTCTATATCCTAGAAATCAATTAGATGATAACCCACAGTTTTGATAATCATTCATTGCTCAGATCAGAAACATTCATTGAGAAAAAAAAATATATAGCAGATATTCAGGAACACTTCTACTGCAAAAAGATCTTTTTTTACTTCTGACATACCCATGGGCATTCTGTGACAACCACAGCACTCGTATCGACGGTAAAAGGCAAATGATAAAAAAATTCCATTTACTACACAGTTTAGCACAGTCAGGAACCGGGTGCTACAATACACCACCACATTTATACATATTCTTTTTTTTTTCATTCCCCTAACTGCCTTTCTGGCCAGTCCCTACAACTAAATAATCCTTAATTGCATATAATGTACTTTACTGTATATGTAAAGCAAATGGGGGCAAACTAGCCAGAACAGCGCCCACTCCATGTAAAGGATCATTTAATAATTGCTTTTAAAAAATGATAATGTACTCACAAGAAATTTATTTTTTATATTGATTGATAATTTATGTGTCTCTGCAATTTTATGAAACATTACATATTTTATTGTAACCATATGTCATTTTTTTATAAGCATGGATTATGCACATATATTGTGTTGAATGGATGTTTTTAAATAAGGTTGTGAATTTCTTTATGGATTTTAATGTAGTTTTGTGTATAGGCCACTCCAAGCTCTATTAAGGATGAATACTGAAAGCATGTTGATTATGAGTATACAGATTGTGCGGTATCGACTAATAATTTCCGCCGATCTTGTGGCTGTTTTAGTTTAATTAAACTTAAGTCCTTTTGATTGGCTCGGGTTTGAACTTTTCTGATTGGTTGAAATCTGATGACAAGCCGATGGTCTGGCTTAAAGTCTGTCAGAGCTTGTGGTGGTCAGGGTTCTGAGGAAGGGGGCGTGCCCCAGAAACGTGTTAACCTTGCCACTCGCTGCTGGAAGACGACTTTGGTCGTGAGCTGACTTGGCTGTGCTGTGGCTTCTGATGGGTGATAGCCTCCTTTGAGGGGAACCATTGCATACGCAGGTGTCACTTTTCTCTTGTGAGTGCATTACCATTTTTTAAAAGCAATTATTAAACGATCCTTCACATGTCATTCCATAGATGTTACTGTATATTGATGATATCTATTTCATTTTTTACAGGAGGAGATGGAGCTTTTGATATAAATGTCTTTACTGGAGTTGTTACCGTCACTAAGAACCCAAATGAACTGAAGAAGGAGGTGTATGAGCTGAAGATACAGGTACACATCTCTTTCTTCTTTCCCGATTAACCATAACAAACATTTTAATAACTTATAATTTTATTGGCAACCTAATACCTCAAAACCAGACCATTTCTAACACACACACACAGTCAGATCAACTCATATAATCCACTGATATATTCCAAAATATAATGTCCTTTGGCAGAATGTAAAATTGAGTTATCAAAAATGTTATTTCCTTCAGTATTTAATATAAAGCTGTTATCATTTACAGATTAAATTGCACATTATTAAGCAAAGCTGGTTTTCACATATTTTAATGCTATTATTTGCTCAGAACATGAGCTAGTGATACTGTCTTCTTGTGCTTAGGATTGCCCATTTGACCTGTACCTGTTGTACATACTGCAGCTCTGTGAATATGGCAGCCCTAGTAATTATCATATGCAAGATTTTTGTGCCCCTGGTAAAAACCATGACATTTTAATGTCGTTACAATTTATTTTTGTGATTTTATGGATTGGAATATTACTAAAACATGACATGTGGCACATGCAGCTGTTTGGGTACCCTGTCAGTCCATTTAACACCACCTCTGGCAGAAATCATAGCCTTTAAATATTTGTCACCAGCTGCCAGTCTTTCTGTTACTGCTTCAAGCATTTTGTTTTTACAAGTGCTTCTAGTTTGGAAATATTCTCCGGTTGACTTGCATGCACTTCACACAGTATTTGTGGCCTCACCATAGAATAATGAATGGTAGTAAGGTTCCAGACATGTCAGTATGGTGTCCTTTTTAGAAGCTCTGATTAGAGATATGGAGGAGCAAAATGCATCACAGAGTAAAACTGACAACCTTGAGAAGAATTTCCTGACTGCTGAGAAATAGTTAAAGAATATCTAAACCTAATAACAAAATTGTAGTATAGTCCAGTTCTTAAATGAGGTGGTTTGATTTTGTTTTATTTTATGCTTTTTTTTTCTATTTTAACCGGGTGATCCTGTGACTAACGCACTTCCTCTCCTTGGGAGGCTAGACTCACTCCTTCACATTATCTATGCCAAGTATAAATTTGATGGTAGCAAACTCAGACTATCTAGCAGCCGGGAGAGCATCACTTCTGGTAGAGTTGGATTTTATTGCTGGAAGTCCTAAACAAGTGGTGGTATAAGTGATTTATTTTCACCAAGATTACCTTAACCAAAATGGTGGATCAGATAGACTGATTACTGGAAGAGGATGGGTATGATACAGTTGTCCTAGCTTATGTGAAAATATGCAGTACAAATAGGGTGAAGGATACTTAAGAATCAATATATATCTGTAGGCTAAAAGTCAAAGAGAAGGACTTTGAAGGTGTATTCTGTAACATAGTGTTTATGCCATGCACAGCAAAAAGCAGTGAAAGCTTAAGGTCCCCACACATCTTACGATAATCGTACGATAATCGTACGATAATCGCGGGAAATCCCGCGATCGTACGATTATCGTAAGGTGTGTGGAAGCCGTGCAACCTCTACTACTGTAAGCAAAACAGATGACAAACGCACTCATCAATTCGTCACCAGCTTTACAGTAAGGTGCACACGGAATGGGCTTTAAACAGTAAAATAACAAGCTAGCATGTAAAAAAAAACTTGTCTCACACTAAGGTTTGGATACACGTCTTCTGCAGAAAATGTGAAAGCCGCACAGCCACGACAAGGCACCTCTTATAGTGCGGTCCTAACTCTAAACTATCAGAGCCTCCATCTTGGAGAACATGGGGCAGAAGATAAAATTGGGTGCAGGTTTGTCAGGAGGAAGCCCAACCCCCTTAATGGAGGTCTCAGCTGCCATTGGGATGTGCGGGATCCCTTGTATGTCTCTGTGCCTTTAAGGGGGTTGGGCTTCCTCCTGACAAACCT